TAACCCAGATAAGGGACTTATGCCTGAAGCTTTATGGAGGGGGATTCCCCCTGCCAAACAATAAATCCTCCCTCTCTCCTCCTCCTGTCTTCCATAACCAACAAGAGTCTTTTAATGAAGGGTATTGTGATAGTGGAATAAAAAAAAGTACATGAACTTTATTTATTTTATTTAGTTCTCATGTTTTATGTAAAAATATAATTAATCTCAAAAAATTGTTTTTTTGATAAGATTTTGTGGGTGTCTGGAATGGATTTAATTTTATTTACATTAATTCTTATAGGAATTATTATTTTGGGTCTTTGGCCATTTTCGGTTTTATGACCGACCACGTAACGGATTATGGCCAATAACCGAGAGTCCAACTGTAATATGCAATAAAAAACATAACAAGCAAAAGTCAAACAGATTAAGGAAAGCAATATTAACATAAAAGAAAATAAAATAGTTGTTAGGCAGAAAACAGAGACAGAAATAAATTAACTCGAGAGGTTAGAGATAAATTAACAGAAACACAATTTTACTGCACATTCTAACATGTACGTAAATTAGGAATCGAGTAAGACCACTAAAATTAACTTAAAAATAATTAGATTAAGATATGTTTGTAAAATAAAAAGACAAAAAGTGCAACTAGATGTACACTTTTACTGTGGCAACGTATCGCTCTCCAGGAGCTATGTCAAGTCTTTTACGGCTTGACAAAGCTCCTGGAGGATGAAACGTTGCCACAGATAAAAATGTCCACATTAACTGCAACTTGTGTCCTTTTACCTTTACATATTGTCGGTAAATCTACAACATTATTACAAGATATGTTATGCAATTAGGCAGGCATAAAGCAGCCACAAATGATGAATATATAAACATTCTTAATACATCTAAATTATTACTAAACCTATTAAGTTAACAATAATTTTCACAATATATAAGTGTAATGGTCCAAGTGTACAAGGTACTTTATGTAATAATAAACAGCTGGCAATAACTTGACTGACTTACCTAACCTGAATATTTCTACTCTGCTTATTTCTCAAGAATATATCTAATACCAAACATGAATTTTTTAAGATCTTTATAACTCATTAGTTGTGTTTAGGAACTACTTGTGGTCATTATTCTGCAAGAATAATTCCCCTAAAAAGGTCGAGTATATTGGCTGTGGCTGTTATTGTGTCTAGCCTCGTGTCGACCTCCAAAATTCTTTGATTTTACAAAGTACTTTACAATAATAATAATTTGTACAAATATATGATACGAATTATACAGACATTAGTGGACATCTGTGACATACTGTATAGAAAGACACTGGTTATACAGAGCATTTCAAGAAACTTTGAATAATTTTGTGCACAGGATGCAAATCACACACCAGTCGGCAAACCAACCCCAGGTACCTCTTACTGCTAGATGAACAGTGAGAGCAGATATCTTTAGAAAACATGTCCTAATGTTTTCCCCGTACAGGGGATCGAACCACTGACCTCAGTGTGTGACGCGAGTGTGCTATCAACTGAGCAATGGGATACTTGTAGGTTTCTTTCATGACCAGGTAAAACAAGACTTTTAAAATTTCGAAATTATGATGGTGAGACCGTACGATGGTACAGTAACTAAGTGCAACCCAACACGACAGTAAGTGATGTGACACAGTAAGTTATTTTAACAGAGAACTAGAGTGTCAACACAAAACCACAGTAGTGATGGTACGGTGAACTAGAGTGTCAACACAACACCACACTAGTGATGACGCCACAGTAGTGATGGTACAGTGAACTAGAATTGTAACACAACACAGAGAGATGTGCAAACAGTATGATGGTGCAGTGAACTAGAGTGTCAACACAACAACACAGTATGATGACGCCACAAGTAAGTGATGGTACAGTGAACAGATTGTAAACACAACACAGTAAGTGATGGACAGTGAACTAGAATTGTAAAACACAACACAGATTGATGGTGACACCAGTAGTGAAGGTACAGTGGACAAGAGTGTCACCAAAGCACCACAGAAGTGATGGTGACACAGTAGTGATGATACAGCGAACTAGGGTGTCAACACAACACCGCAGTAGTGATAGTACAGTGAACTACAGTGTCAACACAACACCACAGTAGAGATGGAACAGAGAACTAGAGTCAACACAAACACCACAGTAGAGATGGTGTCAAAGTAGTGATGGTACAGGGAACTAGAGTCAACACAACACCATATTAGTGATGGTGACACAGTAGTGATGATACAGTGAACTAGGGTGTAAACACAACACCACAGTGGTGATAGTGAAACAGCAGTGATGGTACAGTGAACTAGAGTGCCAACACAACACCACAGTAGTGATGGTGACACAGTAGTGATGGTACAGTGAACTAGTGTGTCAACACAACAACCACAGTATTGATTGTGACCACAGTAGTGATGGTACAGTCCAACTAGATTGTCACCACCACACCACTGTAGTGAGGTAACAGGTCCCAACTAGAGAGTCAACACAACACCACAGTAGTGATGGTACAGTGAACTAGTGTGTCAACACAACACCACAGTAGTGATGGTACAGTCAACTAGAGTGTCAACACAACACCACAGTAGTGATGGTGACACAGTAGTGATGGTACAGTGAACTAGAAGTGCCACCACAACAACCGACCAGTAGTGATGTAGAGTCAACGTGTGAATACAACACCACAGAATATTTATGTACAGTGACAAAGAGTGTCAACACAACACCACAGTAGTGAAGGTGACACAGTAGTGACGGTACAGTGAACTAGAGCCAACACAACACCACATTAGTGGAGATAGAGTAGTGATGATACAGTGAACTAGAGTGTTTAAACCAATGCCACAGTAGTGATGGTACAGTGAACTAGAGTGTCAACACAACACCACAATATGGATGGAGACACAGTAGTGATGGTACAGTGAACCAGTGTCAACACAACACCACAGTAGTGATGGTACAGTGAACTAGAGTGTCAACAAAACACCACAGTAGTGATGGTGACACAGTATTGAAGGTTACAGAGAACTAGAGTGTCAACACAACACAACAATAGTGATGGTACAGTGAACTAGAGTGTCAACACAACACCACAGTAGTGATGGTGAAACAGTAGCGATAGTACAGTGAACTAGAGTGTCAACACAACACCACAGTAGAGACGGTGACACAGTAGTGATGGTACAGTGAAATAGTGTCTCAACACAACACCACAGTAGTGATGGTGAAACAGTAGTGATGGTACAATGAACTAGAGAGTCAACACAACACCACAGTAGTGATGGTACAGTGAACTAGAGTGTCAACACAACACCACAGTAGTGATGGTAAAGTGAACTAGAGTGTCAACACAACACCACAGTAGTGAAATGAGTACAGTGAACACGAGTATCAACACAAACACCACAGAAGTGATTGGTGAAACAGTAGTGATGGTACAATGAACTAGAGAGTCAACACAACACCACAGTAGTGATGGTGACACAGTATGGATTGTACAGTGAACTAGAGTGTCAACACAACACCACAGTAGTGATGGTTACACAGTAGTGATGGTACAGTAAACCAGAGAGTCAACACAACACCACAGTAGTGAGGTGACACAGTAGTGATGGTACAGTGAACTATAGCGTCAACACAACACCACAGTAGTGATGTTGACACAGTATCGATTGGACGAGAGAGCTAGTGTCAACACAACACCACATTTAGAGATGGTGAAACGTAGTGATGTACAGTGAACTAGAGGGTCCCAACACACACCACAGTAGTGATGGTGCAGATTGAGGTACAGTGAACTAGTGGGTCAACGCAAAACCACAGTATGATGGTGACACAGTAGTGATGGGTACAGAAACCAGAAGTGTCAACAAACAACACCCACAGTAGTGACGGTGACACACCAGTGATGGTAGAGTGAACTATAGCGTCAACACAACACCACAGTAGTGATGGTGACACAGTATTAATGGCACAGTGAACTAGTGTGTCAATGCAACACCACAGGAGTGATGGTGACACAGAAGTGATGGTACAGTAAACCAGAGTGTCAACACAACACCACAGTAGTGATGGTAACACTGTAGTGATGGTACAATGAACTATAGCATCAACACAACACCACAGTAGTGATGGTGACACAGTATTGATGGTACAGTGAACTAGTGTGTCAATGCAAAACCACAAAAGTGATGGTGACACAGCAGTGAAGGTAAACAGTAAACCAGAGTGGTCAACACACAACCACAGTAGTGATGGTGACACAGTAGAGATGGTACATGGAACTATAGTGTCAACACAACACCACAGTAGTGATGGTGACACAGTAGTGTGGTAGCAACAGTGAACTAGATTGCCAACACAACACCAGAGTAGTTATGGGGAAGTGAACTAGAGTGTCAACACAACTACCACAGTAAGGAATGGTGACACAGTAGTGATTGTACAGTGAACCAGAGTGCAAACAAACACCACATTAGTGATGGGGACCGTGAACTAAGTATCAACATAACACCACTGTAGTGATGGGACCACAGTAGTGATGGTACAGAAATAAGTGGTCAACACAACACAACAACAGTGACGGTAACAGAGAACTAGAGGTGTCAACACAACACCACAGTAGTGATGGTGAAACAGTAGCGATAGTACAGTGAACTAGAGTGTCAACACAACACCACAGAAGTGACGGTGGCAGAGTAGTGATGGTACAGTGAACTAGAGTGTCAACACAACACCACAGTAGTGTTGGTGACACAGTAGTGATGGTACAGTGAACTAGTGTGTCAACACAACACCACAGTAGTGATTGTGAAACAGTAGTGATGGTACAGTGAAACAGTGTCTCAAAACAACACCACAGTAGGGATGGTAAAACAGTAGTGATGGTACAATGAACTAGAGAGTCAACACAACACCACAGTAGTGATGGTAACAGTGAAAAGTTTCTCAACACTACACCACAGTAGTGATGGTGAAACAGTAGTAGAGGGTACAATGAACTAGAGAGTCAACACAACACCACAGTAGTGATGGTACAGTGAACTAGTGTCTCAACACAACACCACAGTAGTGATGGTACAGTGAACTAGAGTGTCAACACAACACCACAGTAGTGATGGTGACACAGTAGTGATGGTACAGTGAACTAGAGTGTCAACACAACACCACAGTCCACCACAGTCACCTCAGTAATGTCACTGTGGTTGACTGCTGCTCTCACCACATCCAGACCCTTCACAACTTTACCAAAGACACCGTACCACTGGTGACCACCTGGGAGGTCCCTGGTGGTGATGTAGAACTGGGCACTCAGCTCTCTGTCTTCCCACCATGACCCCACATCACCAGCACTGACTGACTGCTGGTACTGGTGATCACGCTGGTGAGACAACAGTGCTGCTCCTCCCTCACCAGTATTATACTGGTAGTCTCCACCCCACACACACTCCCATGGTCCACCCTTGTTCTCCACGTCAAACAGTTCAGTGTTGAGGTAGGAGGAGCCAGAGTGTTGTCCAGTACACAACAACACAAACTGTCTGCCCAGTGTAGTGTTACCACTCAGCTGGATGTGGAGTCTGTTTGATCCAGCCAGTGATCCAGGCTGGGCCAGTGATCCAGGCTGGGGCAGTGATCCAGGCTGGGGCAGTGATCCAGGGTGGGGCAGTGATCCAGGCTGGGGCAGTGATCCAGGCTGGGGCAGTGATCCAGGCTGGGGCAGTGATCCAGGCTGGGGCAGTGATCCAGGGTGGGGCAGTGATCCAGGCTGGGGCAGTGATCCAGGCTGGGGCAGTGATCCAGGCTGGGGCAGTGATCCAGGGTGGGGCAGTGATCCAGGCTGGGGCAGTGATCCAGGCTGGGGCAGTGATCCAGGGTGGGGCAGTGATCCAGGCTGGGGCAGTGATCCAGGGTGGGGCAGTGATCCAGGGTGGGGCAGTGATCCAGGCTGGGGCAGTGATCCAGGGTGGGGCAGTGATCCAGGGTGGGGCAGTGATCCAGGCTGGGGCAGTGATCCAGGCTGGGGCAGTGATCCAGGCTGGGGCAGTGATCCAGGCTGGGGCAGTGATCCAGGCTGGGGCAGTGATCCAGGCCAGGCCAGGTCAAGAAATACCAGAGTGGAGGAGTGATCCAGCGCCTCCAACACCTCGCTCACCTACACAAACAAACATCATCACTCACTATAAATAATTATTTATAATTATCTCACATTTATTAAAATATTACTTCATTTTAATTTTCATTATTATTATTATTATTATTATTATTATTATTAACTATTATTAACTACTATAAAAATTGAAGTTAAATTTTCTCATTATTAAAATATTACATTATTATTATTAGTGCTTCCTTTGGTTATAATAATAATACATTATTATTATTATTATTATTATTATTATGATTATTATTATTATTATTATTATTATAATTATTATTATTATTATAATTATTATTATTATTATTTTTGTTATTATTATTATTATTATTATTATTATTATTATTCTTATAAAGAGTCAATAATTATATATTTTATAAAAGTAATATTTGTTCATAATTATTTTGATAATTACATTATAAATAACTATTACAAATATCAAATAACAATCCTACCTCTTAATAAAATATTATTTTATTATTAATGTAATTATTAACATTATAATTATTTAATAAATATTCTATTAAATTAATGAATTTATAATTATGCAATGATTATTATTACCAATTATCAATAATTATAATATTGTTTCATAATAATAATAATAATAATAATAATATAATAATAATAATAATAATAATAATAATAAGTTGACTGGCACTCTAGGCCTCAAGTTCCTCTCTGAGAGTCTGGTAATGTTTGTTATTGTACACTGATTCTCCTTTTTTTCGACCTTAGATTTTTTTCTGTAGATTAGTTCCAAGCCGGGAGTGATTCTTATAATTCACTGGCACAGTTTAAAGTTCAAATATCCCAGAGAGACCGTGAAAAAATGAAAAACACAGCGGCGGCAATGGCAGGTAACTCAATCCCTGTAACTTGTCAATGGAGAGACTTTCTGCAAAAACCCCTCATTTTCTCACTGCTTTCCCTCCACTGGTTTTGCTTGGCTTCAACCATCTGCACAATTTCTGAGTCAGCAAAATGATGAAATTTGAGTCAGTATAATATGAAAATTTTAAATTTGCTAGCCAAATTACGCTTGATTACGAGGGGAAAAGTTTTTGATTGCCAGATTAGTGATGGCCCGACCCTTACTGAAACTAATCTTGTTTATAGTTTCCCAAACCCACAAATCGAGAGACTACAACCATTTATTTTCTTCCCGTTCTTTTGGCCCTCAAATAGGGAAAAAATGGGAACAAAAACTGTTTTCCAAGACTGTTTTCAAGTTGTTTTTGCCCCTTTAAAACTATTGAATGACCAATACACATTTAAAGCATACTGGGATTTGGGTAACATCCCAGGGCATCCAACCCCAAATTTGGGTCTTTTTTTTTTTTCACAAACACATCATTATTGCAGCCCCCTTTTTTTAAGGAACCCGAATTTTTTTCCCGGAGAGAGTTCAGGGTCCAGGGGGCAATGCCCTCCAACCTGGTCTCGACCAGGCCTCATGGTGGATCAGGGCCCGATCAACTGGCTGTCACGCTGGCTGCTTGCAATCCAATGTACGAACCCAGCCCGGGGTGGGCAGGTACCGACTTTAATGCTTTTCCAGTGCCTGCTTGAAGACAGCCCGGGGTTATTCTAACCCTTTAAAGTATACTGGGGGCGTTGAACATCTTGGCCCCCGACACTTTTTGTGTTGACTCTTAACATGCGTGGGACCCCTGCTTTTTATTGGGGGGGGTGTTGCATCACTGCCGGCTTTTTTTTCGTAGGAGTTTATTGGGGGTTTTTCTGGGAAAAGGGTTCCCCGGGGGCAACGCCCCCGCGGCCCCGGTCTTTACCAGCCCCCCTTAGGTCAGGCCCAGGTCGACCCCACCAGTCGACTAAAAACCCAGGTACCCCTTTTACTGATGGGGGAACATAGACAACGGTGGAAAAAACCGTCCAATGTTTCTACTCTGGCTGGGGAACGAACCCCGGCCCTCACCGTGTGAAGCGAGTACAGGTTTCAGGAACTTCAAGAGTGTTCCCAGTAATTGAAAGGTGCTGTTAGTGTGCAGCAGTATTCCCAGCCTAATAGAACAAGTGACCTGAAGAGTGGTCCATCATGGCTTGGGCATCCATAGTTTTTGAAGGTTCTCATTATCCATCCTGTCATTTTTCTATAGAAGATGCAATTGTGATTACAATGTTATGGTCCTTGAAGGTGAGATCCTCCGACATGATCACTGCCCCAGATCTTTGCATTAGTTTTTTGCTCTATTGTGTTGGTTGGAATTTGTTTTATACTGTGAAGAAGTTTTAATTTCCTCACGTTTACCATATCGGAGTAATTGAATGTTTCTCATGTTGAACTCATATTGTTTTCTGCAGCCCACTGAAAGATTTGGCTGATGTTCACCTGGAGCCTTGCAGTGTCTTCAATGGAAGACACTGTCATGGCAGATTCAGGTGCCATCTGCAAAGGAAGACAATGGCACTCTGGTTTACTATCCCTGTCTATGGCTGATATGAGGATGAGGAACAAGAAATGTGAGGCGAGTACTGTGCTTTGCAAAACTGAGCTTATCGCCGGAGGCGCCTCAGACTTTTATACTCTGTTGGCTATACTCTTTGTTTCCTATTTGTCAGGAAATTATAGATCCATCTACCAACTTTTCCTTGTTATTCCTTTAATAGCACGCGCATTTAGTGCGCTATTACACACCAAGGTCACACGTTGTCAAAGCTTTTGCAAAGTCGTGTATATACATCAGCATTCTTTTTGTCTTCTAGTGCATCCAGGACTTTTGTCCGTAGTGATCAGTAGTTGGGACAGACAGGAGCGACCTGCCAAAACTCTGGGTTGTGCAACTGATGGGTAGCTAGATGGTAGCAATCTGCTTCTTAGACTCTTTCAAAAGAATTTTTAGGATATGGAATGTTAGACCGCTATTGTCTGTAGTTCCTTTGCTATTGCTTTAGAACACTTTAACTGCCCCTTTGTGGAAGGGCTATGTCGTGTTGTTTTTAAGTAACTGTGGGATCAACCTGGGAACCCAGTGGCCATGCTCCACTCCATAAGATGTTTAACCCTTTCAGGGTTTCGGACGTACTAGTAACGGCTTACGGCACCAGTGTCCATGACGACAGTACGCATAAATTCTGAGCGCCTTCAAATCTAGTAGAGAAAGCTGGTAGGCCTACATATGAAAGAATGGGTCTAATGTGATCAGTTGGCGCAGTATAAAAAAAAAATCCTTGGCAGCACAGAGTACAATAATGAGAAAAAAAACCCTTTTACCTTGTTTTTGGTTTAAAAAAACAGAATTTTGCATTTATTCATATGTATTTATTATTGTATTCTAGTTTTCCTGGTCTCATTTTGTATAGAATGTAAGATAATATTACAGAAAATGAGATGATTTTTGACTGGTTCTTACAATGAAAAATACCTTGAAATTGAGCTCAAAGTAGGGCAAAATGTTCCATTTTTACCAAAGTTCAAAAGTGAACAAATCAATGCAAAGCGTCCATACACATCAACTGGTGAGTCTAATTGATTCTTTTGCAAGATGCGCTGATAATATTTATGCTTTTCTACACTAATGCAGTAGCTGCATAACAGTAAATTTTTTTTTTTTTGTGAGAATAAAAATCAAACTGGAAGCAAAAAAAAAAAAAGAGGGGCGTGGGGACGTGACTAATGATCAGAGGAAATCTTATTTAGTGGCTAGGAATGTCTTTCTTGTTTATATCTGACCCATTTTGGAAATTGGCGAACTTTTGAAATTTGTGTGAAATTGGCAAAATTGCTAAAAATCTGACCACTGTATTGGATATTGAAATTGGTAAATTGGTGGTTTCTCTTTGTACTCATTCGACAGAAAAAATGGAGTTTCTAGCGAAATAGTTATGATTTTTGTCACTAGTTCATTGGAAATTGCCGAAAATAGGGTTCCAAAGTGGGCAAATCGTCGATGCGTAAATATCAATCAACCGCTAACTTCGCGAAGAGCCTAATTCCTATGTATTCCATCACATTTCATACTTTTGGTGTAATTAGATCTAGGTGCGCGGAGTGGTAAGATTCTCCTCTCTTTCATAGAAAAAGTTATTTTTTTTAAATTTGGGGGACCCTGAGAACAAGTCTCTAAGAGGGCCTGTGGACCCAGAAAGGGCTAAAAGCACGTGATAGGGGCTTCTTGCAGTTCTTGATGAACATGGAGTTCCATGAGTCTGGGCTTGAGGCAGTGCATGGTCATGTCATTTATCGCCTGTTCGAAGTCATTTGGCATCAGGATAACATCAGACAGGCTTATGTTTGCCAAATTCTGTGGCTCTCTCATAAAAACTTCATTTAGGTCTTTGATTCTCAGTCTGGTTAGTGGCTTGCTAAAAACTGATCATACTGGACTTAGTAGCTCACTCAATTCCGTGCGGGGCTGCGGGGGGTAAGACCATCTTGTTTAAGTAGGGGCCCAATACTGGATGCTGTTCTCCACTTTGATTTGGCATAAGAAAAGAAATACTTTGGGTTTCTTTTGATTTCATTTATGGCTTTTAGTTCTTCCCGCAATTCCTACTCCACAGTATTGGAGAGTGTAGGTGTAGGTGGTGATGCTAGTATGTAGTGTGTGGAAGTGTGGGTGTAGGTGGGAAGGTGCTGGTACAGTAGTGGAGAGTGTATGTTGTATGGTGGGTAGGGCCGGTAAATAGTGTGGAAAGTGTGGGTGTAAGGTGGGTATGTGCTGGTACAGTAGTGGAGAGGTGTAGGTTTAAGTGGGTAGGTGCTGGTACAATAGTGTGGAGAGCGTGGTGGTACATAAGAGTGGTAGTGTAATCAGTACCTGGAGAGTGTGGTGTACAGAGATTGGTATGTGTAAGAATTAACCTGGAGAGTGCAGTGGTACAATAAGAATGTAGTGGGTAATAAAGTATCTGGTGAGTGTGGTGGTACAGTAAGAATGGTAGTGTAATGAAGTACCTGGACAGTGTGGTGGTACAATAAGAATGGTAGTGTAATAAAGTTCCTGGTGAGTGTGGTGGTACATTTAGTGTTAGTTAATAAAGTTCCTGGAGAGTGTGGTGGTACAGTAAGAGTGGTAGTGTAATAAAGTATCTGGAGAGTGCAGTGGTACAGTAAAAGTGGTAGTGTAATAAAGTACCTGGATAGTGCGGGCGTGGGTGGGTAGGGGTTGGTGCTGGAGAACGTGGAGATACAGTTGACCATCTTGTAAAGTTATCCTTGAGTAGGCGGAAGGTCACTTGTCTTAGCTGGGACACCAACACCAACCAGGCCAGCCTCCACCAGCCTCTTGACGCTCTCACTCATCCCACGAAGATCATCAACCTGTGGACAGTTACCACCATTATCACCTCTTCACAGTGTCACTACCATTATCACCTGTGTACAGTGCCACTACCTTTATCATCCACGTGCAATCTCAGTAGCATCATTATTATAAGTGCACAGTGTCACTATCACCCATGTACAGTGTCAGCACCATCATCACAGGTGTACAGTGTTATGATAATGTTTTCTTCAGTATGATAGTGTTTGATCAAAAAGAATGACAAAAGCCACTATATATGAAGAACATTTTGGCCAAACTTAAGATTAATAAGGCAATAACAATACAGTGTAAATTTAGGTGTTTACAATGAATGAAATATAAGTGAATATTGTTTAGATCAGGACTACATGACTTTAACAAGTTTACTTGAGGGGAATTACAAGTTTCATTATTAACATAAAGTGGACACAATTGTTTAATGATTGTGAGAGTTACAGATACAGAGGACCCTCGATTTTTGTGATTAATCTGTTCCAGAGAGTCTGTCCAAAGTCGAAATTAATGAGAATCGAAATCATTTTTCTCATAAGAAATAATGTAAATCCAATTAATCTTTATCAGACACCCAAAAAAACAAAATTTTTTATGGATTAAATATAATTTACATACATAAAGGAATGAGAAAATCAATATAAAGCAATAATAAAATGTAAGAAAAGAGCATTTAACATCACCTTACTTTTATTGAAGTACTCTTTTTGGTGTATGGAAGACGGTGGAGGGGGGGGGGGGGGGGGGGTGGGGGGGGGGAGGAAGGGAGAGGGTTAGGGTGATGTTCCTCCACAAGTGATTGCACTTCACCCCACTTTGCAAAATGTCCTTAATCTTTAACCCTCTGGGGTTTCGCGGACATACTAGTATGACGTACGCACGTAGAGAGGTTTTTGAGTAGCTAGTTACGCATAATTCTAGCGCCGTCAAATATCTGGGATAAAGGCTGGTTAGGCCTAGATGTGAGAGAATGGTTCTGTGTGGTTGGTGTGTGGCAGTAGAAAAAAATCTGGGACCTTCAGTGGTGCATTGTGCGAATGCCATCTTAGTACAACAATGTCCACCGATTGCCTTGCGGTAAGAAGTTCCTCACTCCTCAGCGAATTGGGACACTTTTGTTCGCCCAGTGACAGTTCTAATACAGATGGAATGCCAGTGAAGAGAGAGTTTCAAGTTCTGGTGAGGTCTGAGACCAATACAATGACCATAATATCGGTAATGGTGAGGAAAACCTCAAACGACCGCCTCAGCCTTCCACCTCTGGTGCTGGCCATCTTGTTCACTTCACTTTGTACCCAGAATCAAAGAGCAAACTCCTATTTTCCAAATCCCAGACTCAGATGAGAGCATTTGTGATATAGTGATAGTGATTCTGAACTACAAGCTCTTGAAAACAGTTCCAATAGTGATAGTGTAGTGGAATATTCCCCAGTAAGAGCGTCAGTATTACGATGATATGATGCGTTCTGGTAGTGTGCATATGCATTCCAAGAGGAAGAGTACATCTCGGAGTACATCCCGTGGCTGTACAACAGATCAGACAGTGGAAAATGACGATGAAGTGTTGCAATGGGATGGAAAATGTGCATGGTGAGTTGTAGTGGTGTGATGGCCGTGAGGCACCAGCAGTGGGCCATGCTGCCACCCATGCTGCCACTCCCAAAACCGCTGCCTCAGCTGATCTACAACAAAGGCCACCATCCCCCCACCCACCCACCACATCCAGCCTCCAAACCATAACCTCGCACAACCACAAACCTTCACAACCACAACCTCCACAACACAACCACCTTTCAATTGTCCCGTACCCACTCATCAGACCACACCTGGAATTGGAAGGAAGTCTGTCATTTTGTTTCCAAATCCCCACCAGTTGAATGACAGCCATAGTGGAATAACGGCATATTGTATCACTTGGGAACAATGCCACTGAACTGGAAGTTTTTTGAGTTATTCTTTGACGAACCCCTGATCGAAAGTAATTGTTCATGGAAAAGCAACACATACTGCGAGTACAGCCATGTCCAACACATTACTTTCAACCAAAATCAAGTCTACAACCAGTGGAAGGAGTAACTTGGCTGAGTGTATCTTTCTTTGCCACAATAATGTTTTATGCCATAATGTTGTATAAGCACAAAGTGAAATCATACTGATTCAACAGACCGCCTGATTGCAACCCCAGATTCATGATATAATGCCAGTGAAATTGATTGTGTGCTATGTTTTACGTATGCTTCACTTTCTCAACAAAACCAGGCCTGACAGAAACGACAGGTTGTATAAGATTAGCATGTGTTTGTGTATCTGAAAGAGAAATTCAATATGTATTTTTATCCCTCAAGAAGCTTGTAATAGAACATCTTTGATTCTGTTCAAAGAAAGGCTCTCTTTCAAGCAGTACATGCCAAGGCAAGAGGATAAACGCTTTGGTATAAAGTTGTTTGTGCTTTGTGATTGTTACAGTGGTCTGGTATTGGATATTATTGTGTACACTGGAATTTTACACTGCAAAATACCAGAAGTTATTGGGCATACTCTGGTGATGTGGTTAGAACATTGATAGAACCATAACCTGGTAAGGTCATATATTAAATACTGATAATTGGTACACAAGGCCACTCACTCAATGACATGACAGATCTGTGTGTGGCACAGTACCGTGTAAATCGAAACTATATGCCCAGGTTTGACGATGGCACTTGTAGAGGTGAGGATCAGGCGGTTTGCTGCCAATGACACATGGCATTTTCGGTGGTCATGACAAACGAGTATCTGTCACACTGTTGTCATCAGTTTACCCACATGAAATGGCAGACACAGGCAGCAAGCATAGAGAGCAAATGAACCCATTCTAAAACCTGCACTGTGATTCATTACACCTTCAATATGCGCTCAGTGACAAATGTGACATGCAGATTGGGTGTTGCTGAGTGGTTCGCAAGAGTTAATAAGTGGTACAAAAAACTCTTTTTTCCATCTTCTGGACATTTCCATGCTCAATGCCTATAATATATATAATATGAGAACCAGAAACACCCAGCAAATGGGAGCGAATTCTGTTTGTCTGTCATCAACAAAAAGTATGTCAAGTACCAAGGAAGAACACCTGCAACAGAACCACCCACCAAATTATCAACAACTACCTTCCCCGTCTGAAGCATGGAAATAAGTCACTCTGTCTGACTTTTTGGGTTGATCCTAGTTTTCTCTACACATATGCAGCAGTATGATATTCTATGTAACTGTATTTTGTAATCCTGAAATAAACTTACATTACTTACTTACTATCACTTCCTGGTAAAACTGGGTCCCCCCCTGCTACTGCTTTCCAGAAAAAGGCTCAGAAGAGTGGTGTTACATCTGTGCACATACAAGAAATGCCCACACAATGCAGAGACACTCGTTTTTATGTGTGAGGAGTGTAAAGCACCACTGTGCATGACACCATGTTTCAAAGGAGTTCCACGAGCTATGCAGAACTTCTAGAAACATTCCCTGTGACAGTATATGTGTACAATTTAAAAAATAGAAAAATAGTAATTAACAACTTTTATATCGTTTGCTTGTGTAAAATTTCTTAAATAAAAAAAATGACAACAGTGTTTACGCCCCTTTTTGTGTAGTATTGAAAAAAAAAAAAAAAATTACAAAATACTGATCATATTGGTCTCACAGGCCATAAAAGTTACTTGGAAAAAAGAAAAATTAAAAAATAATAGAAATTAGTATATGTAAATAAAATAATTCCAGGAGACGGCAGTCGACAATGTTGCCCATTGTCCCCCTTTTCATCAACTTCAATGCCTCCCTATCTCGTTAGTATTGACGGTAAAATTTTTTTAAAAAT